GTTTTTGTGTTGAGAATGCACCATAGGAGGGCAAGAGTAGAAGCAGAGAGATCAGTTAGACTACTGCAGTTACCCAGATGAGAAATGATGGTGGATTAGAATTTATTCATAGCAATGGAGATGGTGAGAAGTGGTTGGATTTTGGATGCCTTTTAAGGTTGAGCCAAAATGATTTCCTGATGGACTGAATGTGTAGTAGAAGAGAAACAGAGGAATTGAGCGTGCTGTCAAGGTTCTTGGTCTGAGCAGATGGATGAATAGGGTTGCCATCAGCTGAGATGGGGAAAGCTGTTAGGAGTAGCAGGTTTTCGAGAAAAGATTAGGAATTCAGTCTAGGACATTTTGAGTTTGAGACAACTATTAGACATCCAAGTGGAGGTGTTGAGTAACCCAGTCTAATCTAACCAGTCGCCATTGAGTCAATTTGAACTCATGGTGACCCCATGTGTGTCAGAGTAGAACTGTGCTCCATAGGGATTTCAATGGCTGATATTTTTGGAAGTAGATCACCAGGTCTTTCTTCTGAGGCACATTTGGGTGAATTAGAATTGCCAGCATTTTGGTTAGTAGCCGAGAGCTTAACATCCAGGGACTCCTGGAGGTGTTGAGCACCAAACCAAATTCCAAACCCATTGACACTGAGTACATTCTGACTCATAGTGACCGTATCCTGTTGCCACCAAGTCAATTCTGACTCATAGTGACCCTATAGAACACAGTAGAACTGCCCCATAGGGTTTCCAAGGCATGGCTGGTGGATTCGAACTGCTGACCTTTTGGTTAGCAGTGAAGCTCTTAACCACTGCGCCGCCAGGGCTCCAGGTGTTGAGTAGTCAGTAAGATATATCAGACTGGAATTTGAGAGTTGTCAAGATAGAAATGGCTTTTACAGCCATTGGACTGGAAGAGGTTGATCACTAAGGGAGTGAGAGTAGATAGAAAAGAGAAGAGGAACATGGACTGAGCCCTGGGGCTCTCCCATTTTAAGAGGTCTAGGAGAAGAGGAGGAGCCAGCAGAGCAGACTGAGAAGGATCAGCCAGTGAGGTGGGAGGAGGCCAGGAGAGGGTGGTGTCTTGGAAGTCAAGTTAAGATAGTGAACCAGGGAGGAGGGGTTCATCAGCTGTGCCAGATGCTGCTGATGGGTCAAGTAAGGTGAGGACTGAGAATTGACCACTGCATCGAACTGTGGAAGTCATTTATGATCTTGACAAGAGCAATTTCAGTGGAGTGGTGGAGATGAAACCCTGAGTGGAATGGATTTAAGCGAGAATAGGAGGAGAAAAATTAGAAACAGTGAATAAAGATAATTGTTACAAGGGACAATAAAGTAGTCTAAGTAGATACCTGGGGGAAGAACTTTCCTGACAGATGGCACAGACACTGCAAAGGCCCTAAGGCGACAGTGAGCATGGCTTGTTTGAGGAACAGCATGGAGGACACAACTGGAGCGGAGTGAGTGAGGAAGAGAGCAGGCGGAGAGAAAAAAGTAGGAAACGATGGTTGTCTGGGGCTCCCTCTTGACACCAGATTGATGTAGGTAGAAGGCCAGGGGTAGTGTGGTCTGAGACCAGGAACACTGGTTCAAATGATGCTTTATATTGCACATGAAACATATATCACATATATCTATGAAAGAAATATTTATCAAAGGGTAGTGTCTTAGCTAGTGCTTCTGTAACATGAATACCACAAAGTGGGTGGCTTTAAAGAACAGAAATTTATTTTCTCACAATTCTGGAGGCTAAATGTCCAAATCAGGGTCTCTGCTGTGTAGATTCCTTCCTTGTTGATAGCCCCGGGCCTTTCTTGGCTCTTGGCGATCCTTACATGGCACCTGTCTTCCCCAGTATATGTGTATGTCTGTGTCTATGCTGCTCTTTATATAACTCAGAAGTGATTAGGTTCAGGACACACCCTACACTGATATGATCTCATCTGATTTATTACATTATCTCAAATTGCATTATGGAAGGTGATTAGATTAGATTAGAGCCATAGACATAGCAGTTAGGATTCCAACACATATTTGAGTGGTGGGGTGGTGGGATACAACTCAATCCATAACAGAGAGCAAAGATATGAAGTAATAGCAGGTGAGGGAAAGTAGGATCAAGAGAATATACGTACAAAGATAATGCATACATAATGATTAGAATGTATATGTATGAAGATGAAAAATAACAGCATTATTGTATCCTGACAGAAATGATCCAGTAGACAGCATAATACTGATGATGTGGGAGATAGAGGGCAGAAAGACAGTAGCAATATCATTGAGTCAGTATGAGAGAATGAGATCTAGTGGGCAAGTAGAGGGGCTAGCTTTAGAGGGGAGTCTGGAAATTTCATGTATGATATCAACAGGAAGGCCTTGTATACAAATGCAGGTGCAGGTAGGTGAAACTATGTGGTGGTCAGAGTCTGTGGAAGTTCTCTTCTGGTGGTTTCAATATTCTAGTAAAACAGGAAGCAAGCTAAGAATTGGAACGGGTAGATGGTGTTGGGAGTTTGAGGAGAGAAGTTGTGAAATAGTAACTTAGAATAGTTAGAAAGTTAAGGGACAGGAGGCCTATAGGATGATTGCTTGGCAGGATTAAGCTCCCAATTGAGGTGTATGGTCATGAATTTAAACTGATAATAGACATGCGGTTGTGTGTTTTCCTCCAACCATGTTTAGCTGTGTCAGTGCAGGCTCCTTTAAGGTGTAATTGGATTTAACCAGGGTTGTGATTTTGCCAAGGAAGTAATACGAAGTGAAGGGGGGAGGGTAGTGGAAGGTATATGTAAAGGGGGATTATAAAGACTGAGCATGATATTTGAGCTAGGAGAGGGGGGGAGAGAGGACAGTAAGGGAACAAGAGATGGTGAAAATCTGGTAGGCTCAATGGTTTGGAGATACTGGTGAAGTTGAAGGATAGTGAAGTTAGAGTACCAAAGACAGTGAGTTGGGAAGAAAGGAGATAATGGTCATTCAGAGGGATGTTTGAAACTGAGATTATGGAGGAGTTGCCATGATTGCAATGACAAGGTCTAGGGTATAGCCATGTGAGTGAGTAGTTGAGGTGGGGATAAATGCCATCATTAGATGAGTTCTGATGGATTTGAGTAGGATAGGGGTGGCAGAGTTTCTGAGTATTGGTGTAGGGAGAGGTGGGTGTCTGGGGCTTGCTGTCAACCCCAGGTGATAAGGGCAGTGCAGTCTTAGACCCCGAACACTGGTTCAAACAATGCTTCATATTGCTTCTGGAAAGAGAGATCTGTAATATCTGTACGTGTAATGATAGGAGAATGAGCTGGAAGGCTATACATTATATTCAAGAAAGAACTACCCCCTGGGGAAGTAGGAAGGTGAATGAAAATGGGGTGAGGGTCAAACAAAACCTTAATTTTTCTGTAATGTTTTCATTTCTTAGGTGGGAAAAAGACAAATATAACTAAATGTTAACAACCTTCAAATCTAAGAGGCAGAAACATTGGTGTTCATGATATTTAATGCCTGGGACATCACTGTAGGTACTCAATGAATATTATCTGCGGAATGAGTGTCCCTTTGTATTTTAAAAGTTTCTCCAACAAATATAGAAAACTCTCAAATCAACACAAAATGCTACAGGAGCTTAGAAAAAGGAATGGAGTGAGGTGGGGTGAATTGTGAGGAAGGTTTGAGAAATCCTTGATCTATGTAGATTTATACTACCATACATAAACCATATGGAAAATATAGGGTGCAAGCTTAAGACATAGTCTTACTTCCATTTTATCTTAAGAGCTGAGGTTCTGGGTGAGTAATCAGAAGACGACCTTGAACATCTAGTCCTTTCAATTTACTACTGGATTCTCAGTTTTTTTCCCCCACTAGTAGACACTGGGTGGTGCTGCTGCTCCAAAATTCTGCTCTATCGTGGATTTGTTACCCCAGTCAACCCAAACCACACCCATTGCCATCGAGTGGATTCCGACTCATAGTGACCCTGTAGGACAGAGTAGAATTGCCCCCATAGGGTTTCCAAGGAGCGGCTAGTGGATTCGAACTGCCCACCCTATAGGACAGAGTAAAACTGTCCCATAGGGTTTCCAAGGCTGTAATCTTTTAGAAGCAGACTGTCACATTTTTCTGTGGCAGAGCAGTTGGTGGGTTTGAGCTGCTGACTTTTCGGTTAGCAGCCGAGCACTTTAACCACTGCGCCAGGTTAAGCCACTGCCAGGGCTTCTGCCTCAATCGGCAGACATGTATTTTTCTAGTGTCTACTGTGATCCAAGCAAAGTGCTAGGGATTGGGGATATACAGATGAAGAGCCTCAGTTAGATTCTCCTCTGACTGACTGCTCTCATGTTCACTGGCTGAGAAAATCGGAAATGTGACTTTTACATAAGAGAGGACAACTGTCATAGAAATGTCCAGCTGTGGAAATGAATGACCCTGCACCACCCACCCTCACCATGAGCACGCCTCCTCCACGACCTGGACAAACATCAGAACAGGCAACACTGAGCACGGCTTCCAAACCACTGTTTGGTCATCGCTGCCTACTAGTACTCCTATGCCTATAAAAATCCAGAGAGCCTGATTTCGGCTGATTCAGCTTGGATCTCGGAGTTCGCAGAAGTTCCAAGTTAACTGGACAAGATGTCTCTTGTTTATTGTAGAGGTTACTATTATCATGGATGAGTTAGTATACTTACGATGAAGGCAAAGCGGACCCTCAAGACTAAAACAGGGAGGGTGGGAGAGGCGCGCCAGCAATCTCTTGACCAGCCAGAGGGCTGCAGTGGTAGCTGGAAAGGCAGGGTCTGATGTGACTCAAGAAGACACTGTTGCGGGGTGGGGGGTGAGGTCCTAAGTATAGGGGCGACAGTGGGCGGAGGTCTGCAAATCTAAAGCCGAGGGAGGGGCGGGGAGACAAGCCAGAGATCCCTCGACCAATCAGAGAAGATTGGGGCGGATGTGGGGCGGGGCCTGCTTCCCGCTTATAATTGCAGGGTTCTGCGCGGGAACGCTAACCTCGCCCTGAGTGAGAAGACAGTATCATCCCAGCGGTTGGCCTTTAACGGATCTTCAAGCCTTCAGGTGAGGACGTGCGGCCCGCTGGGAGCCAGAGGACGTAGGAGACCGGAGGGCTTTGGGGCCGCGGAGCGGGGCGTGTGGGGCCTTAGGAAGTTGGAGGGGCCGGGGTTGGGGTTGGCGTTTAGTGTCTGCGCTGCTGGGCGAGTCAGTGCCTTTGTCTTCTGAGGCGGCGCCTTCTGCTCGCGTTGCCGAGTTCCTCACCCCCCGCCCCCCGGGGATAGGAGGGGTGGGACTCCGCGATAGAGGCCGGTCCGAGGCTACTAGCAGGGCCGCTCCTGAGTGGCTAGGCACCCAGCTCTCTTATTATTTATGTATTAGTCTTGGTTTCCCCAGTTCTGGAGATTGGCGTCTAATCGCTGGGAAAAGGAGGTTTTAGGGTGACCTTGACTGGATGGAGGCATATTCGGGACTTCTGGTTGATTGGGGGCCTCTGCATTCTGCTCTGGGCACTAGACAAGTCTTACCCCACCAGGGTGGGGCCAGGCACGCGCGTGAGAGCGCTGCTTTCCAGTTCCTGGAGTCTCCTATTGTCTCTTCTGGACAAACTCGAATGTTCCCAGGGCACCAGGCATTCCATCTACCCACAGCCCAATCTCCTCGCCTCTTTCTTTGCGGAGAAAAAATAGTGAAGTAAGATTCAACTCTTTTTTGGTTTATCCTATTCTGCTCAAGCCCTGGATCTAATTAGCTGCCCCTTTCTTACAGCGTTTACAAACCAATGCGACCAGGAGATGTTGTGGGACATGTAATTAGTTATGACCAGATTAAATCCCCTCCCTCTCTTACTGTTTTATTGTAGCTCCTTAAGCTACTATCTTTGAGCAGGTGAAATGGAAAGAAACTAGTACAACTTATGCCACACTTTTTGTGTACTATTCTCTATCCCCAAGTAAAAACATCAAAAAAATTGAATAGAGAGTAAAGGTGCTCAAATACTGCTATCTCGTTACGAAATTGTTTACTGGTTAAACCCAGTCCTTATTTTTTCTTCTGTCCCTCTCTGTTCTTGTGCTTCTATCACCTCCATTTTATCTTTGCTATGATTTTAAAAGAGTCAGACATATTGGCTCCTGGTTTCTAGTACATCTTGATCCAAAAGGCATTTACTGTATTTTTACACAATAAAAATAATGCTGCATTGTATGCTAATTTTTTTACAGCAACATGTAGAGAAGAATTGACATAGCAGCACTTGTGAGAATGCCTCACGGGGGAGGGCGTGGTTGGCAAGCAAAGGTAGAAGGTGCCCGTTGTTTGCATAAAAATAGGGTATTGCCTATCAGAAGTGGAGTAGTGATACGGAATTGAAAATATTCTAATAAAAACATGGTTTTTCTAAGACTTGTTGCTGTTTTCCTATTGGAAATCTTCAGGTAAAATACACATTGATACTAAGTGGCTGTAGTAATAGTTGGCTCTGATAATAATTTGGCTCTAATAATAGTTCTGCCAGGGCTCCAATAGTTCTGCCAGTTTTTTTTTAATGTTTTTTTTTTTTGTTGTTGTTGTTGTTGTTCTAGGCAAGATGAGTGATAAGCCAGACTTGTCCGAAGTGGAGAAGTTTGACAGGTCAAAACTGAAGAAAACTACTACTGAAGAAAAAAATACTCTTCCTTCCAAGGAAAGTAAGTCATGGGGGGTTTCTAGTGGGGATAAACAATGGTAAAAGTTGATAGGTTCAGTAAATAAACTCTTCTAAGTAAAATTTACCACAAAGTTAGCAATAGAGTCCTGTTGTATTTAACAGAACAGTTAAAAATACCAAATAGTTGTCTTCTTACTTGGGTTATGTAAGTGGTTCTCACTTGATAGCCCCTGCTAGTAATGGGGGAAATAAAAAAACTAGTTTCTTGTTGGAAAATTACTAAAACCTACATTAAAACCAATCTTGAAATAGTGAACATACACTCAGAAAATCTTAGCTTTGTCCACCCTATGGTTACTTGGCATTTTTCTATGTCCAGCAAGTTGGGTCCTTGATCTCATTCCTAAAGAACTGGAAAAACTGAGGTTTTGGTCTCTTCTATCTGATGGCAACATAAGGCAGAAGAACAAGTTTAGATCTTGCAGACACTCAAAGCTCCCAGACCCAAAGGATCGGTTTTGCTCTCCGGAGTTACAGCCTGTTGATGAAACTCTTAAGTGTATCCACAAAAGATGAGGAGCCCTTTTTGTCCTGTCACCATTATTTGAGAGTTCTGAAGTTAGTTAAAATTGTCTGAAAGGGTGTATTTTCCTAAATGTATAGTGATAGAGAAATCTGAAGCAAATGCTTCAGTTGCTCCTCAATCTCAGAGTAATCTATGGGAAAAAAATGGCAACAGCATAAATCTACCTTTCAAATGGAAAAAGAAAAAAAAAGGTTGATGTAGATTCTAACGAATGTCAGGTGGTTAACACACATGCAAGCACATACATGCATGCACACCTACTGTGAAGATTTGTGGTCAAGTGCCCTGTCATTCTAACTTTAGAGCATGTATGGCAGCCTTCTATGGCTTGGCAAAGAGGACTTTTGAAAGAAACTAGAGTTAATCTTAGGAAAACACTATCTTAATGAACTTTTTTTTTTCCAGCTATCCAGCAGGAGAAAGAATGTGTTCAAACATCATAAAATGGGAATCTCCTCCCAAGAGAAAATTTCAACATTGCCTGAGTGTCTTGTTTTATAGGCTTGAGTTTTGTAAACCTATGTGTTTGTAGAGATTTTAGGCATCTTCTGGTGTCTTCTCATCCACTCTCTGGCTAACAGGTCAGAAGTAGCCAATGCTCCATTACCTTTGTTTTTAAACTTCCCATTGGTGCGTAAATTCCACATGGCAGATGCTATCAATGATCTCACCAATGAAGATCTTTGTGTGTGTAGTCCTTGCCCTCCCTACAGGATAAGCCACTTTTAACCTTCTCCAGTGGGTACCTCCATTACTCAATAATCTTCATGAAGTTGCATGTTTTTTCTGCTTCTCACAGTTTGTTTTCATTTCTCATGTAGCAATAAAATAATAAAATCAGTATCTTGAGACTCCTGTGGTTCATTCTTGGTGGTCTTCTAAGGAATGAAAGCACATAAGGGTACTCTTTTCAGCCAAACAAAATGGTTGAGAGAAAGCTGCTTTAGCAGATTACTTACATGAGAAATGCTCTCCTCTGTCCAGTCTCGTAGGTTCTGCCTTGGGGATCCTAGGTGCTTTTTCCCTAGAGTTGGAATCACAGTGTTAGGGAACCTTGGAGGAGGACCAAACTCCTTCCAGAGATGAAGAAATGAAAACTCAGGGTCTGAAGTGTTATGCTCAGGGTAAATAAGAGCTGTAATCCAAGCTGGGTTCTCTTGCCTCCTGCATGTATTTTTCAACTTAATGGAAGGGGACACCTGAAACTGTAGGGTTGGATGGGGAAAGGGGCAAGAGGCACTTGTTGACATGCACTGTACTAAACACCTCACATATATTGAGCATAAACTCAGGTATCTAATACCTACTAATAGCCTGGTTCTTATACTGAACAGAGTTTACAGTCTTATGAACCAAGCATTTTTTGGTGTTTATGGTGAGCATAAGGAGTACACATAAATAGACGTGTCCCAATCCTTGCCCTTAAACAATACTTTTATCACTTCAAATTTATTTTTTAAAAATTACCCATAATCCCACAAATGAGAAGTGTTAGCATTTGGGTATATAACCTTCCGGACTGTGGTCTATTAATATATATATCTTTTTCTACCAGAAAAAAAAAAGGGATATGCTCTCCACGCTATTTGTAACCTCGAGTATTATCTAACCACCCCCTTCTAAAGGCTTACATCCTTCAATAACCACTGGAGCTACAGGAAGTAGAAGATGTTCTCTCTGCTGTACCATAAACTTCCACAAGCAAAACAGTAGGTGATCAACTAACCAAGTATCAATGAGGTGGCACAATCACAGGGCTTATTCTGGCCAGAGGATTTGAGCTTTGGAAGTGACCATGTTGGTCACCAATACCTTATCTCCTGCCTGAAACCATTGTCCAATAGTCACTCAGCCCCTTCCAGAGACATGTTGCTTACACACTGCTCAAACCTGTCTCCTTGTAGCTTCTATCTAATAGTTCTAGGATTGGAGCCCCACACAGTGTAGTTAATCCCTCCTCCAGCTGTTGTGTGCCTGCCCACCATAACTCCAAGTTTTGTCCAGGTGAAACTTCTCAGGTCTTTTGGACCCAGGTTACACAGATGGGGAAGCATCCTGGTTGCACTGTAGATACATTCAGTTAGCTCATTATCAAATCTCTTTAGGTCCTGATTCTGTCATCCAACACATTTCAGTGTTGCCATCTGCAAATTTGATAAAGATGCTATACATCCATGATAGATTCAGCAACCTCTGCATTAGTATATTAATCCAGCACAAGATTAGGCCCATTTAAAAGGGCTTAAAAAATGCATGAACATTGTCCCTTGAGCTGGGGCTGGACAATAACTCCAAATGTTCAGTTGCGTCCAGTAACCATCCTTTTCATTAAAGTCTTGACTCCACCCCAGTCAGTGTAAGTGTTAAAATGAATGGGAGCAGATGAGAGGTACGTGTTGGGAGGTGAAAGACATGTAGCTGCTGAGTGAATACTCATATAAATGTGAGTGGGAAAAATAATTTCTTACCTGGAGTAGTTTTGCCCTGCATTTCTTAAATATATAGTGTGAAGCTACTCTTCTAGTCATTAGCCTTTCTGACCAAACCAAAACCAAACCAAACCTATTGCTGTCAAGTCGATTCTGACTTACAGCGACCCTATAGGACAGAGTAGAACTGCCCCATAGGGTTTCCAAGGAGCGGTTGGTGGATTTGAACTGTCAACCTTTTGGTTAGCAGTCAAACGTTTAACCACTGTGCCACCAAGGCCTCCCTCCCTTTCTGAGGGGGAGATTATTTTTCCCCCAATAAGCCCATTATAAGCAGGAATGTGATTTGAAATTTAGGGTCCCAAACCCATTTATTAAGGCCCTGTTGTAGCAGCTACATTTATGGGGAAATGAAAATGGTAATTTGATGGCAGAGCCTAGAGCAGAACTACAGCATGCTGCATATCAGAGCTGCATTTGGTAAGTGAAAAAACTGAGGCCCAGAGAGGGAAAGAGATGTTTTTGAGGTCACATGGGAGAAGTTGCCACTCAGTAAGTAAATGAGGTAACTTAGGACAATGTACAGGACTTCCCTCAGGTGTCTGATGATTATTTGTAAATATGTGCAGCAGAACTTCTCAAAGAGTGATCCCTGGGCTGTGAGCATCAGAATCACCCTTGATGATTAGTGGGTATTCCTGGGACCCACCCCCAGAGATTCAGATTCAGTGAGGAAAAGGAATGTTGTCTTGTCATAGTCTTACAAAATGATGGTGTATATATACATACTTCTCCTTTTATGATGTATAACTTAATGTTTTGTTTCTAGCATCTGTCTTCTGGGTCTCTCTCATGTAGAGTGTTTCTTTCCTGAAACTTAGTACAGTAAAAACCTGTGAATGCCAGAGCTGTATAAGGCAGAAACCTGTCAGAGAAGGAAAACTCAAATGTTTTCCACTAATAGGAGCGATAGAAAAGTGGTAAGACTGTACCCTGTCAAAGTCAGAAAATGTGCGAGACCCAGAAAAACAAGGCAGTCCCATCAAGTTCCGGTTCTCACAGGTTTCACTGTATTATTGACGTCGTGACAGGAAACAGGGTAATTAGACCACAGGACTTTTACTTTAGATCATTGGTTCTCCAAATGTGGTCCCTGGACCAGCAACATCAGCATCACCTGGGAGCTTGTTAGAAATGCAAATTCTCAGATCCACTCCAGAGCCACTGAATCATAAACTGAAGGAGGGACCTAGCAATCTGTGGTTTAACACACCCTCCAGGTGATTTTAATGCACGTTCAAGTTTAAGAACCACTGCTGTAGATAAATAGTGCGCGACTAAATGCGTTTTTAGGCCTGGGCTATAATAGCTAGCCAGGATAGACACGGAAGGAGAAAGACATTTCTGCAATTCAGCAGGCATTTGTCAAGAGCCTGTTTTGTCTAAAGGGTTGTATAGGGAATACAGAGATAAGTAAGAGAGAGTTCTTATCTTACAGGGACTTACAGTCTCATAGAAGGAATAAGGTAAGAAATGCAGATCACTGACTCTGTGTCCAAATAGAGTATGTGGAGAGTCCTAGGTAAAATGGGGGTGTGTATTAAGCCTTGGCAGGTTCTTGTAACAGTCTCCTGCTTCTTCAAGGTATACTGACCTACAATGATCCAAGAGCAGAGTAGCATTGTTAGAGGTGGGAAATCAAGTCAAAAAGTAATAATCTCTGTTTAGGAAGGGAAAATGTGTATTGCACACACGCTCCAGCCATCACATATTTCTATGCAGCTAGGTTTTGGAGCTCAGATGTACTTTCACAGAGGCTGGACCTGAATTATAAGGGGACGAGCAATTAGTAAGCAGATGCCTAGTGAGGGCAGGGATAGATGAGTGGGGTAGAATAAGAAGGGACTATATTATGCATGGAAACCCTGGTGGTATAGTGGTTAAGAGCTACAGCTGTTAACCATAAAGGTCGGCAGTTCGGATCCAGCAGGTGCTTCTTGGGAAACCCTCTGGGGCAGTTCTACCCTGGTCTATAGGGTCGCTATGAGTTGGAATCGACTCAATGGCAACAGGTTTGGTTTTTATTATTATTGTTGTCACCACATAGAGAATATGAAAGGTCCTTCCTCTGGTCTCTTTGCTTTGCATCAGGAAAAATGACGTAGTCCTGTCTTCTGAATCAAGCCCTGAGCTTTTCCACGTGCTTCCGAGTACCACATTCCCCACCTTCAAATAAGCTTTTTTAGAAGAGGACTGCCCATGGAGGTGAAGGCTTTTTCTTGCCACTTGGCTGTCCCAGTGGCCTGAACCTACTTCACTCTAATTCAGTAGCCACCATGTGCACACATGACAGTTTAGGTCTAGCTTTCTATGATCCTAGAGACTCATTGGAGCACTTATTGGAGCTGAGTCTTCTTCCCTTGGCCCCAGCTCAGACTGTATCTGTGCATGGCAAGTTAGCCAGGTTTTGGGTCAGCTCACCTGTTTCTGTGGTCTGCCTTTGTAATGAATAGCAACTTCTGCCAATGGTTGTATTCTCATCCACATCTTTTGCAACGTAGCTGAATTACCTGGGCAATGATTTTACACGTTTATCTCATTACTGTACACAGGGAGACATGACTTTAGTTACCAAGAACAGAAAACAGCAAAATATCAGAAAGGAATAATATGCTGAAAATTAATTTAAAGAAACAGCCTAATAGAATTTCATGTCCGCTTCATCTTTTCAAAAGATCAAAAATCTAATTTAGTATCATGACTTAAAATCTTTATGAGAAGGCACAGCCAAATGAGTTTTTTAAATACCCTAGAACTTAAACTAATGCATATTCACATCTAATAAGAATATGTTGCACTGGTCTCTTAAATGCACTGAAAAATATTTTATTCTTGGCTCAGCAACTTCCTACCTGTATGATCTTGGGAAACTGACTTAATCTTTTATGTTTCAGTTTCTTCATCCATAAAAATGGAGATATAACACTATTTACTTCATGGAGATGTCATGAAAGGTAACTGAGGTATTCTACGTAAAGTGCTTAGTACAGAGTTTGGAACCATTGCTGTTCAATCAATGGTGATTCTTCTTAGTACTATAGCAATGTCTGGTCTAAACAACACAAACCAACATAGGAGTGCTGGCTATAAGGGTGATAAGGAAAGAGAGCGCAGTAAACTGGTAAGGTCAGAGGAAGCGTAAGTTCTGCTTCACTCAATATTCTGGATAATAGGTGCTAGGAATTATTGTTTTTAATAATAATAACTATACTTAAGCCCTTGACTTTACTATTGTACTGCATATTTTGTTTTCCCCAGGTATATCAAATAGCAAGGAATCATCTCTAAATAGCCAGGTAAGGGAAATCAGACAGTACACAAGTGTTAACTTTGGTGAAGGGAAAGACAACACAT